AACACATATTTCTTGTAGCTCTTTTGTCGACCCTACCGTGGGCTCCTCTCTATGGATGCGAATATCTATGGTATCCTTGAGAGGTCCGGGGTATGGTTTAGACTCTGTTTGTTCTCGGGAGTGGCCATTTCAATGTAGCATTTATGGCCCAATGATAATATTCCCGAGATTCTTTCCTACAGCTCCTAATCGTCGCGACTCCCCTAGGAGTCGGGAACCTTATTGCTTGGCAGCGCACTAATGTGACTTCACTCAAATCATCCAAGATCGGTCTCCCGAAGATGATGTTGTATGTGGTTGGGCAATCTACCACTAAGAATTTAGCCATTACTGTCTTGATTTTTGGTTATGCCCCTAGAGTCATGGGAAGGTTGATCGTTCCCTTGGGGACCAAACTGTCCCCGGTGAATCCGTAGAATGGTGAAGGACATGCCTTCAAGTCCCTCTTTGTGAACCTCATCTCTTGGAAGGCTCATAAAAAGATGATGTTTGCTGCACTTCCATTATCGTCTATCACTCTTAGCACTCTAGCATTGCAGATCCTAGCTGCGATTACGATCACATCATGATTATGGCAAGGGGATTCTTCTCATTTTTCAATAGTGGATCCTGCCGCCTCGCTCTCTTGTCTAGGCTGCTTTCGCTGCTTCTGTTTGCAACTCATTACCTAGGGGACCAAATCTATTCTGGCCTCGCAAGCATATTGCTCACGAGTGTGCCTTGAGCGTCCCACTATATCGAGCCCCTCGTAGATCATACCCACTAGGACCTCATGGTTGGCGTTGGTCGGGGCCTGCTAGATCTGGTTATTTTGCTTGCCAGTATTTTTATAAGTTGGTGCCTTCTTGAAATTCCTTGAGGTGGCCCCTTCGTATCAGGTCTTCAATGGCATCTTTCAAAGCCCGACACTCATTGGTGTTGTGCCCGATGTCCTAGTGGTATCGACAATATTTTTGTCGATCTCTTCTGCCCAGAGCCCCCCTCATCCTTTTTGGAGCGGGTAGTCTCTTTGCCTTATGAGAGACTTTGTAAATGTGAGCTATGTCTTACGTGAGGGGGTATATTTTGCATATCGTGGGAAGGGCTACTTGTCCCTGCGATTATCTATTTTCTGTCTTTTCTAGGACCTGTTTCGGTCCTTATCATTACGATCTTGGCCCCTCTGCTTTTCTGATGGGCGATCTTATTGCCTGTCTAAGGCTTTTCGTGTCGAGCTTCTGGCTAGCGCTGCTAACGAGCTTTCTACTCGCTGGTGCTTTGCAACAATCTGATAAAACTTCGCCGGGCTTATGTGATCTTCGCTTTGGAGCTCTCTCCACAGCTCTGTGTTTGGCCTGATGCTTGTAATTAGCAAAGTTCGGATGGACTGTTTGGGTCCATCCGCGACCTTTGCTTGCTTGTTCTATAACCTCGTTAAATAGGAGGTCAGGGTTTCGTCTCTCTCTTGACGAATATTGCTCAAGTAGCTGAGCAGAATTATGAACTATCTCCTCGCTTGGAATTGCTACAAGTACATCGAGGAGAACCGTTGCCAAGAATTGATGGAGTTCGCCTTGACTCTTTTGTATCACCTCTTGGCATCCCCTACCAATATGATCGCGAAGCAACGACACTTCACTAAGTCACAAACCTAGTGTAGCTCTATCAGGTCATTGAAATTGTTAAGGTAGTCTCTGTCCTCTCCCGTTAAACTTACTCTTTAGCATCCTGAATCCCTACAGAAGTAGGGCTTGGCAAACCTCCTCTGTGAAGGAAGAACTCATTATTTCTTCTGCTGCACCGTTTTAGCAGGCCCTTAGATCGTTCAGCATTTTCTACACATGATCCAAGTCTTCATTGTGATTGCCTTAGTTGGCTCTGTTCAACTTTACCTTGAGCAAGTGAGTTCTCAAATTTGTCGCTTGTGAACCCCCTCTATTACGTGCATTGATGCACGACGTTGAGTCATGATGGCTCGATTGATAAGTGCTATCATGCTCGTCAATGCGTTGCTCACGACGTCGGTTATAACCGGAATGTCGGTCATTGCCAGATTGGTGCACATTACTCGTCTTGCGAGTTTGTGAGGATCGAGCTTGTCTTGGGCATAGGTTAAGACCGGCATGTTGACGCTGTGGATTCCACTAAGTAGGTCGAGTGTCTCGTGGGCGACCATTATTTTCACTTTCACCCATTGGTTGTTTCCCTGGTCGCCTCTCAGGGTTGGTTTGCCCACGTGACTCACGCTTATGAGTGGAGTGTACCTTTTGATGTTGGGGGTGTTAGTCATCCTTTGACGCTGATGAGCCAAACTAGTCTGTGACTAAAGTTCGACTCGTCAGGGTAGGATCAGCCACGTTCTGTTGCATCGCCTATGGAACCATAGTTCTAATCATCTCCACCAACTAGCCGTTTTCGGGGTTTGACATTCCTGCCCTTGTTTATTTGTGGCATGTTGAGATGGCAGCAATGGTGGTTGACGCCCAGCGACGTCCTGTTGCACCTCCTGATGGGTAGTCTCGACATGGTCTTGGTTTTCGGTGGTGGTTTTTTATATTGTACACACCATTGTGGGCCTGAAGTGGTTAGATCACTATGGTTGTTTGCTGGAATTTCTAAGATGTTGGCGGAGGCCCTCCTTCTAGCACCAAAATATTGATATAGAAATCTGCACCTACTAGAGTGATTTGATCAACCTTGGTGGGATAGGAACTGTTGTGTGCGTGATTACGGGTAACCAGCAATGAAAGAATAATAAATGCAGTAAAGAAAATGGGAAAGGGATTTTTAAAGTAGTTCGACAAGATGAACTCTTGAGCCTACATCCAATGTTTTTTGAATTTGCTATGAGAGCTTACAATAGTAATTCTGGAAATATTCTCCAACCCCTTCCTCATCGTTTGAGGGGGTTTATATACAGAGTTTGTACAAAGGAAAGAGTGAAAATAAAATGATTACAATTAAATTGAAATGCAACTCCGATATTCTCATGATTAGGCATTGTGATTGTGCAAAGATTATTGTCAATCTGATCATTCTTGAGATATCTAGGATTTGAAGTTATCTGGGAATTGGTTGAATGATCACTTGAATTGTTCGCGGCTAGCTTATGCTGGGTCAAACAATCAGTGGAGTCAAGCTGGTTCCGGATCAAACTATATCCTCGCGATACTCTGAGGTTAGTGGAAAAATCACACACAACAAATAATATCTTTTTTTTTCTTTAGTGTGGAAACCATTTTGTGTTTATTGAGTTGATTCTTTAGTTAGGAGAGTTTTACATTGTTTGTAGCCAATTTTTAGGTTTGAAGTTAAAAAAAAAAAAAAAAAAAAAAAAGATATATAAAGAAAATAAACTGAAATTTTTTAATTTATTTTCCTTTATTTTTAGGAAAAAATATAAATTTTTTTATTTCATCTCATTTCGTTTTCATATTTATATAATTTGAAGTCCAAGTTCCATACATTTGATTTGTGTTTATGTATTTAAATTGGTTTAGAATTATATTCTTCCATTAAATTATCATAGATGTACCACTGTTTTTATTTGATTTTGTATTAAATATATATTAATTATCAGGATAATGCAAATTATATCATTTATAGTTAAGCGCATATATAACTCTCCTTATTTTTTATTTTTAAAATAATTCTCTTATAATATTGAGGTTCAATGAAAGATTTATTATCTTCTTGATATATTAATATTGTTGTTGAAAAAGCGAATTAGCTCAGTCTAACAAAATTTTCTACCCTCGATTTTTTGGTTAGATAGATTAGCATGTTAATTCCAAAAATTTTACAAGTGGGAAATTCATGTTTAGCTCACTCATTTATGTAGTTGATTAACTTTGAAAAGAATATTCAGAGTACCCATAAACACTAAAATAAAATAGTGGATAAACATAAGTCTAAGCCTCCTTTATGTTCTCCAAAATTTGTCAATAACTCATATAATCCCAATAAGTCATCCCTCTCTGAAATCAAGGCAAATTAATTTAATAACAAAATCATGCAGCTTGTTTAGTTGTAAAATGGGTTCAAAGAATCTCATACAATTTTGTTATTTTCACTGAGATCAAAATTCTTACCCCTATGTAGAAGTAGAACCATAACTCTTGATAGAAACTAATATTCGAAAATTAAATAGAGATCAAAACTAATATCCTCTTTTGTAGCAAATTAATTCCAATAAGGTCAAATGGATTATAAGGCGTTTTTGTCATAAATAGCAGTTAAGCCTTTGGAAGCTTCATTGTTAATGTATAACGGAGATGAAAAGAACTGGTTGAAATATCAATCGAATGTATGTATGTTTATTATAGGGAATATTTTTTCCAAATTTAAAAGGAAATATTTTCTTGCAGATATCTTTAGGATTTGAATTCTTTTAACTTAAAAGGATTGAATAATGTTACATATATCTGAACCCATATGGCAATTGAGTTAATTCACATAGACTATAAAAATTCAACTGCCATATTATTTTGCCAACTCAATTGCCATATACAAATTTGGATTATAACTTTACATTTACAACTTTTTTTTTTTTACAAATATAACTTCCATTTAAACATTAGAACTCTGGTTATATACTACTTAATATAATAACCAAAATTAAGGATTAATAATTCCCTTAAAACAAGGTCAATTTTAACAGTTTTTATGAAATATATTTGTGGAAAAGTTGGCGATTGGTTGCGCGATTGAGAGGCAGAGATGTGTATTAGATTAAAGTTCTACTTTATGATTTGAGTAGACGAGGACTAAACATTAAACATTATATATGTTAGTCCAGTAGTGAGTTAACTTATACAAAAAATACATAGAATTAGAACTTACAGTAAAAATAGAAGACCTCTAGGTATATAATTCTTAATAAGCAAAAATATGTAAGTACTTATGATAATTATAAAGCCAAATAAGAATTACATAAATTATAAAAATCCCATAAAAAACATAGCAAGTTAAAGAAATGTAAGTCATAGATGAAGAAGCATAATGATGTTTATGACAAAGAATTAAGTCGACCATTTTGTGACAAATCCAACCAATTTAACTTCAGCTTCAATAATGAGAGTGTCATCAACCAAGAAACCATGTTTTGGATTCTTCAGTTTTTCTAATGCCATGATATTATAACAGATCTTTTTTGAGGGTTTATGTATGGATTGACCTGGAGAAAAGATGAAAAAAAAGTAGTTAAGAACAAAATTTATATCAATAATGCAAGCACTTATATCAAGAAGGAAAAACAATAAAGCACAAGGCTTATTGTATAGAGTCTTGATATCCACATTTTTAAAAAATGAGAACATCAATTATTAATAATTTACTACCATCTGTAAGCAATAAAAAAACTGTGAAGTGCTAATGAATGGAATTCTCAATTTATAAAACGCAGCGATTTACATTTAAAATTTGTTTAAATATCACAAATTAGAGAAAATCAATCGTAGAATACAAAAGATTTTATTTCAAAAAATTGACGGTAAATTTTAACTCTCACTTGTCTGTTTAATGTGTTTTCCATACAATTGGTCTTTGATACCCAGAGTACACGTAGCCAACAATTTCGTATCTTGGGGAACACTTGATCCAGACATACCTAGAATTAGTGAAATACTGTTGCCCTTGCCGGCTCCATATCCATTTGGGTACAGACCAACATTCCTGCAATTCAATAATAATTTGAACAGGTATGTGAAGTAGATTAACACTACTCAAGCTCCAAATGAAAGCAAATATATATACCATTTATAGAATCCAAATGATTCTGACTCATAATATTCCTCAAGTAAAGTTGAAAATTTCTCAATTTTCCATGTATGGTAGAGAGTATCATAGTTCTTCATCAATGATAAGTGATCCCCTTTGAATGTTTTTTCAACAACAAAAACCTCAGCACCAAAAACACAAGAATCATCGATAAGGTATCCATTAAGAGGATCTGAAAATGTATTCAAGTCAATGAAGTTTTTGATACCCCATAGGGTCTTCATCTCCTGGAATTGCTTTACACTCCCATCTGCATCAATCAAAATTATCTATTAATAAATCTATAAAAAATGAATAAATATGATATTTTCTTGCAATTAATTTCTAATAAAAAAGTTGTAACTATATTACCTTGAAGACTAAAGTATTTCTCTTTTAGCTGATTAAATAAGAAAAAATTGAAAATTACATTGACTTCCCATCCAATTTGAGGAGAACTCGTGTCCAATAATTCCAATTGCACCGAGATATAACCTGCTTTAGCTTTGATCCAGTCCCCATTTAGATAGATAAACAATCTCCTGTGATAGGAGTTAAATTTTCGTTTAGCGAAAAATATTATTCAAATTTATCATTATCTTACTTGTGCTTAAGTATTATTTATAAAGGACAAAGTTGAGTTAAGTGCACACCATCTGAAGCCCCCTACAAAAAAAGTGTCCGAGAAAACCTCATGTGTTGAAGCTTTAGATAGGAATGAGAAGGAATCCATTTTGACTAAGTAGTGACTTGGTGCAGCACTCCTTCCTGAAAGAAAATAAAATAAGAGATATAAGCTTACTTAATGACTCAAAATTATTTTAATAACAAAACCACTTGGTTTAATTAGTTGCAAAAAAAGGGTTAAAATTTTAGATTGAAACAACAAATTTCATACGTGAAATTTTTTACCTCAATGCAGAATCATAACTCCTGATGGAAACTAATATTCGAAAATTGAATTGAAGATATACCTACTAAGCCTTTGAAATAGTTGTTATTGATGTTGTATTGGCTTTTAAAAGCTTCGTTGTTCATGCTGCAGTTGCATTTGGAATTTCGGTCGCCCATGTTGAAGCAGCCTTTGGAACCATTGTTGCCCATGCTGAAGTAAGAAGATTTGAGGTTTAAATAACAGAGACGAAAAGAACCGAAATCTGAAGACTTGTATGTGTCACAAGTCGAAATATAAGTCACTTTGTATCTAAACTTTAGGAGAACTTAATATATATATATACACACAACTAATCAATTATAAACCGAATGCCAGTTGTATGATTTTGTCTTGTGTATATCTTTTATAGGGGATTTTTTTTTCGAATTTAATTAGAGGATATTCTTTTCCAAGACTAGTTGGGTAGGATTCTAATTCTTTGTGAAGTTTGAACTTATATAAAAGATTTACAGTATATATAAATAAAAAGTAATACTACACTCACAAACACTTTTCACTAACTTTCTCTCACAAACGCAATGTGTCAGCTTACAATTAATCAGTTCGCATAAGTCCCGCATACCCAAAAATGGGTTCTGTTGATCAAGTCAGTTGTAAGTTGCTACATGGGGTTAATGAGAGGTGTTAATGAGAGATATTCGTGAGGCTAGTATTATTGATAAATATAACTTGCATTGAAAGTTGAAACATAAGAACTCGGGTTATATAAGGCCTAGTTAATTATATCTAACTAATGAGTAACTTTATTTAATTTTTGGAATTAAAATAAAAAATATATAATTCCCTTAAAATAAGGTCCATTTTAATAATTTTCATGAAATATATTTGTGGAAAAGGTGGCGGTTAAAGGTTTTTATTTAAATTTTTCTTAATTTTGAGGATTTAAGGTAAGTATATATTCCAGTAAGATTTATTCCAGGACTTGAACTCTCTGTGAGTTACACAAAAGAGTATAGAATTATAACTTCCAGTAAAAATAGAAGACCTCCAGCTATATAATTCTTAATAAGCAAAACTATATACGTAATTATGCTATTATAAAGCCTAATTAAGAATTATATAGCTTATATAACTCCCTACAAACATAACAAGGTAAAGAAGTGTACGCTAGAAACACAACTATCATCAATAAGGTCTCCATTAATGGCATCTGAAAATGTATTCAAGTCAATGAAGTTTTTGACATCCCATTCTGTCTTCATCTCATGGAATTTCTTTGCACTACCATCTCCATCAATGAAAATTATCAGAGGATCGTTAACATTTCTCGAGGCTCTAATAATAAATAGTTATAACTATATTACCTTGAAGACTAAAATATATCTCTTTTAATTGATTGAATAAGAAAAAATTGAAAATCACATCGACTCAAATCCAGCTGGAAGAGAATTTGTCCAGTCCCCATTTAGAAAGATTTATAATCTCCTATGATAGCCTATCATATTGTTGGTGATTGTATGTATGTTTTTTGTAGCCAAGATTTTTTACCAAATTTTAAAGGGATATATGTTGTTGTAGATATTTTTTTCCATCTGCTAAGATTAGATTTCGTTGTGAATTTTGAACTTGAATAAAGGATATATACAAATACAACTTCCATTTAACTGTAAAAGCTCCGGTTATGTGCTACTTAATAACAAAACTTATTCCCAATATCAACTCAAGTGTAAGACAACTAAGGTTATTGCGTTTGTCTTCCATCAAGGCGTCGTTAATAAGATCTCCTTTATTAATAATTTAATTTAATTTATTGAATTATGGCAACAAAGTTAATAATTTCCTTACTCCATTTAATTGTATTTATTGAAGATAACTTTTTATTCTCTACGGCTTACATTTTAAACCATGAGATAGATTAGTTCTTGCAGGTATTCTGATTAGTTATCCACGGGTATTTTGATTCAGATTGGGTAAGTAATATCTCTATAGACGTTCTACGATTAGATTTTGTATCTTTTTTATAGGTAAATTAATCTAATACGCAATAAAAAGAATTTTTTGTTTCATCTCATTTGGTTTTCATATTTATATAATTTTAATTCCAACTTCCATACACTTGATTTGTGTTTATGTATTTAAATTGGTTTAGAATTATATTCTTTCTTTAAATTATCATACTTAATCATGTACCATTTTTTTATTTGACTTTGTATTAAAATATATTAATTATCAAGATAATGCAAATTATATCATTTAGGGGTGGTTTGGATCGGGGGTAAATAAGATAATGAGAGTTATTTTCCTTTATTTTGTAAGATTCCTGTATTTGGTTTGCAAGTAATAAAATACGGGAATTTTTTATTATAAATAGTAGTTATTGTTGGTAACGTAGGAGGTAATCTTATTACCTTACTAGGGGATGTTATTAAAACGTTACTAGGGTAATATGATTTTTCTACCCATTTTGCCCTTAATTAAAAACCATTTTAAACACAATTGCCCTCAAATGTCTACCAAATAACAATTAGCCTAATCCCCTACATTTGAGAAATTAGCTAAAACACCCTAGCCACAAAAAAGCTTAAAAGTTAACAAAATACCCCCAACCACCCAAGACTACTGTCGACCACCAGTGTCAGTCGCTGTAATGGTGCATGACCGATGGGATCTAGCTAGTCGTGCGTCGATAAGAGCTTTTCTGATGACCAGATTTGACATTTCTATGGCCATTTCATGGCCATAGATCTGACCATTTTCCGACCATGGATTTGTGATTCATGGCCATTTCCGACTTTGTCAGCGCACATCCTACCATATACGATCAGTTGTGTGTCATTCCGTCGATTGCCAACAACGGCCGGCAGTGGTGGCTAGCTATTGGCAGTGGCTTGAGGTGCCTGGGGGTGATTTTGCTATAAATTATAGTTTTATGTGGTTAGAGTGTTTTAGCAAAATTTCAAATGTAGGGGGTCAAAAGAAATGATTCAAAAAATAATAATAAAAAATACTATTATATTAATATTTAAAAAGGAGGGCAATTTAGTAATCTATATAACATACCCACCCATTTATCCTC